GTGAATTGGAGCTATAGAAATACACTGAATAGAATTAAATCACTGCGAACGTATTAGTTTTAGGTATAAATAATAACCCATTCCTGCTGACTGGATTTTTCCTTTAACAGACGCTTCTGTAAGGAGGTTGAACTTTTGGCTCCTGATGCACATTGAGAGGATTTTTCTGTAGTAAATTTAAGAGACAGTCAGCGAGATAAAAAAGGATTTTTAATAATCACAACTGGTAAAAGTCAGGACTGTCAGGAGCAGCACTGTAAGGCATTAGAGGCACAGTTCTATGTTAACTGGATCAGTACTGAGCTTAGAAATACATTCTGCTGTGAACACACCGTCCATCTGAGAGAATGATGAGTCCAACAATCACACACATGAGTCATATTTGATCGTTCTTTAGGTGAAACAAAAGCCAGAGTTTGGAGCAAACATGATGTGCTGTAGAGTCTTTGATGACGACGGAGCGACGGATGAGGAAGAGCACGCCTGCCCTAAGCCGCCGTCCGCTGTCTCAGTGTCCCAGGGGGCGATCATCATACGTGCTGTACCTCTTCACGTGAATTCTCCGGACGCGCTCGCGCAGCTCGCCTCCTCCGGGGCCCTCCTCATCCTCGCTCAGAGAGCCGCAGTTGTTGTAGCTTCGCCGCGTGGCCTCCAGCAGGGAGTTGTCCGGCAGCGGCATGGTCTCATAGAGCAACGAGTTGAGGGTCTCCTCATAGATGCGGGCTTCAGGGAACTCCACCTTCACACACAGTTTAAAAGGTTAAAAAACGCCACATCACTTCAGACCCAAACACCAGATGGGGTCTGTCGCTCCTCATTCGGGCTTCAGCCGATGAAACATCCGAGTTCTGGCAGAATTCATCCAGATCGTCACAAAACACACTAATACTCTTTAAAGAAAACAATCATCTTCCATACTCCCCCCGTTAGGAATATACACATCTATTCTGTCTAAAAATTAAAGAGTTTTAAATCTGTTAAAACCCCATTTCTTCTTTTAGATCTACTCCAAATACCTTTGTTCTCTAGTTTGTACAGATGTTCAAACTTAGGCTGCAAATTAACAATCAGATTAATGGATTA